TAAGAAACAAGTTTGAAACTCAAAATTTGAACATTGAAGTGCAGACGTTTCAATGGAGGACTATGTGTATTCAAAATTTGACGGCTTTAGTTGCCACGGCTTTTACACAAATGTGATGAACAAACATACATACATATATTTGTACAATTTCTCCACGATTCAGTGAGAGATAACACTTTAAGACAGGGATGGGTTAACTACAGCCCATCTATGTCTTAAACTTTTGGTAAAATTTAAAAGTTAGGATGCAAGGGAAAAAAAAGCTATTTATCGACGACACCTGAGCTCATCTCAAAGGTTTTACATGAAAACTTGATCATCTAACAAAGAACGACCTGTTTCATTTCCCGGAGTTAAATTCCATACCTTCAGGAAAAGAAAATAAGTTTAAGAACTATGAAGATGGTTTGAGATAACTGCATTTTGAGTTTGAATGCAGGTTCAAAATTTCAATGCCATTTATCCCTTTGACTACAAATTAAAACAATTACTCCGCTTTCTACCCAAGTGAACAAAATATGTCATAAACAAGGTAAATTTAGAATTTAAGATAGGTTTGATAAATGGTTTTCAAGCCTAGTCTCAACCGTACAGAGGCTGTTCACACATTTTTTAGACGATGTATATTGTATTCACAAAACTAAATTACATAAAATTCTTATGTTTTAAATGTTCTATTTGACATCCCTTATTCTGAACTATCTTTCGACACCGCAATTTCCAGGATAATAATGCCTTTTGAAGTGGCAGAAGAGGTATTCTATCCCATTCCTCCCGAACAGCTTTCCAGAGTCTTGTTAGGGTTTTGGGACAACGTTTGGATAATGCAGTTTTTAAAAAAGTCCGAAAGCACAAAAATCCATAGGTGACACATCGGGAGATTTAGTAGGGATATCAGTGAAGGGTATGGTCTTGATACCAGTTTTTTGTTCCATTTCTTTTAGGAAATTTACAGTGGATTTTGATGTGTGACTGCTAGTCTTGTCCTGATGGAGTCTCACAGACGGATGGCACTGTGGGTAAAGCGATGGTATTTCATTCAGAAAAATTGGCGATAAAATATGTTCCTGATAGTATTTGGAGTTAATCTTGACATTTCTTTGCACTCTCTTCATTTTTAACTTGCCATTATAAGAAAAACCGGCAACCATCATGAATCCCTTAGAAAAACTTCCTTTCGATTCTTTGAACCATAATTTTTTTCTCCCCTTTTATGATAATAAATGGCTCTTTTTTTGTTGCAATCATTCAAATACACCCATAATTCATCTATTGTGACAATTGTTTTCCATTTTTCTTTGGATAAGTGTTTCTCATATAGAATTCTGCAGCGTGTCCTGCGTTGAGCCATATGCTTTGGAAGAAGACTATGCGCATTGCGTTTTTTCGCTTTCTTAACATTTAAAGCAACGTTTATCATTTTGTTTACGGTGGAAACCGAGGATTTTAATAATTTTGCAACTGTCCTTTGAATAGTGGGATTTTCTTTTAACATTAAACAAACGTACCTTTGCAATAGTCGAAGACGTCCGTTTTTTCCTCGGATACTTGTTTGGAATTTGTGTCCCACTTGAGGCTCCAATTTAGCTTTTTTTTTTTTTTTTTCATTTCTTGTTGATGATATTACCTATCGACGCTTTATATATCACAAAAACATGACTCTCACATCGTTTTTGAATAATGGAGTATGCATATTTCTCTTCGGAAAGAGCGTAAATGTAGCCTTCGAACCACTGCTTTGTTAAATTCGCCATTTTGAATAAAAACAAAACTTTCAAGCCACAGACGATGATTTTTTACTAAAAACATAGTACAATTGCAATTACTTCTTTTGCAGCAAACAGTTTTTTATTACCGCTTACCAAAATCGTCTAAAAAATGTGCGAACAGCCTTTGTAGTTGTTGGTGGGATAATGTCCCACACGTAGCGATCGACTTAACTGTAAACACACCTATTATTCTGGAAAGCTTTATTATATGAAATAGATTTACACGGTGTGATACAGGGTAAAAACCATTCTTTGCATAAGCCAACATTACACATTGGGCAATGTATTTGGCATATTTGTTCTTTTCTGTATGCTCATTTGTGTACATCGACCACAGCGACGTCTTGATTTTCCAACTATTGGAAGATGATCCCAACATTCAGGAGCTTTTAAGGAATTTTTAACACAGCAGTAATTTTAAAAATTTTAATGGGACGTTTATATCCCGCTAGTAGTCAAAGAATTAGGGAGAGAAATGGATATTTTGGCAATGCGATTCAACGTAAATTATGAAGCAATGATTTGCAGCAGGAGTCGCAGCTTTTATTAATTGAGTTACATTCTAACAATAATACCGAGGAGTTGTTTCTCGATGTTTCAAAATTAGAGCCTTGCAAATCTTTATCGAAAATAAGTTCCCCAAATTGAATATCTCGCTGCCAGAAAACTACAACTACGTTTGCTTCATCTGGTGTATGGGAACAAGCGTTTCCTGCCTTAGGGAAAATTCTGTCTGACATATAAAAATATGGATTTATGTGAGATAAAAGCATTATCATGAAATGAAAATATGGATTTATTTGTGATAAAAGCATTATCTGAAGCATTTTTTCCTTGAAATCAGTAGTGAGGTTTTAAATCTGAATTGAGCAACGATAATAAAAGAAACATTTAGGAAAACGAAAACATTATTTGCAACAGGTCTCTAATCATTAGCATTAAAAGTGTTCAACGTAGAGTTCAGCAGCATAAAACACAGATAAAATGAACTATGTACATTAGATATACATAACTGTTTATTGTACTTTTAGGTGTTTTTTTTTAGTAAAGGAAAGGCAATAGCAAAGTAAAAATGCAAGATAAAAATGGAAATAATTTTTTATTTCATTCTTATCTTTCTTATTTATTCATCAACCTTCAAACGAATATGTGAAATCATTCTAGAAAGAAGATTAGTTGAACTTTATTTTTAAACCTGTTTTTAACTTCAAATTTGCCTCACGGTCTTTAACTATTATTTTGTCAATAATTAAATATTAAAAAATATATGTTAATTTGCATATAAAAATATAAAATTATAAACTAGGGTTTAGAAGCCCAAAGAGGCAATTTTCCCTCAAGGGCTATTAATTTCGTTTCTTCATTTTGCATTGGTTCCCTATACGCTTTCACTTTTCTAATTGTTGCCATCAAATATTATCGCCATTATATTTAAAGAAATTAAATAATGAAGAATCTGCATAAATGTATGTTTCTCGCATTGTGAAAATACAACTGTACCTAGAGCCATCAGATTTTCAATAGTAGAGATATTAGGTATTTGGGACGCAGGAAAGATGAAAAATTAACAAAGCCTTCGCCGGGAAACGAACCGAGGACCTGTGGAGGACGTTACAATATCTAACGGTATTTTGCTCCGAATGTCTCTACATATCTGTATAATTTTCAAATCCAGTTTTGAAACCCCCCCCCAAAAAAAAACCCTTTGAGTGTAATATAAAATCTGAAACCTTTCACATTTTTTTAATTTCCTTGTACGAAATGAAAAGGAAGTATTGTAATCGCGAAAAATTTCGGGTAACATATTTCAATAAAAACATCGATTTTTACCGCTATCAAATGAAATTTAACAATGTTTTTACCTGACATCTATACGTAAGGACAGAATAAAGGACTCTTTTTCTCCAAACGAATTATAAAACTGATTTAAAATGGATTCCGAAAAGATTTTTTCATGGCGTCTGCACCATACGAACGTATATATGTATGTATGTATTTATCTCGCATAACTCAAAAACGAGTAGCCTCATAATGTTGAAATTTTCTATACAAGACTGCTATAAAATGTAGCTATAAAAGTATCTCATTTTGGTTGCAATCGGCCGCACCAAAACTATATAAACAAATATATGTATATATATCCACTCTGTTACCTGGCTCAGTAATCTCAGTTTCTTCCCTCTTATGTGTTTGTAAATTGTGCATTTTTTGCTTTAAAAATGATTGAATTATGTTGTTCTTATCTTCCGATTATTGTTTTTATGCCGTTAGTTAGCCTGCATGCTATAGTTGTAGAATTATCAATAATTTAAAAGTTGTTTAACTAAGCCTATTTTTTTTACAATAGGAGCCATATTTGTATATATTTGGAAATTAACAGAATAGTGGATTTGTGGCCAGTCTAGAGAAACTAAGCTTCACAACAACAAAATAACATCATCTTCTATTACTGCAAATTAAATTATGCTTAATCCATTCTGGAATTATAATTTAAGCTATTAAATTCTCTCATATATTGACTCAGCATAGCGTCCACAACAAATTAAATCAGTTTCTATGCCTTCAGTGTCTTTTTGCCAAGTGAGACCAAACTTTCAGTTTTGTGCACCGCAAAATATGCCTTCTTGCCCGCTGGCCGAATTGTTGCTTTTTTGTAGAAACCGTAATTTTAATTGTAAAAGAATTTTTTAATTGTATTTTGCATTTTATGTTTTTCTATAGCTTTCAATTTTTAATATAGATATTTTGAGTTTTTATGTATTTTTGCCTTGTCACAAAGTGAGAACTGAATTAATTTAATGAGAAATATATCTCGAATGAAATTCGAGGAAATTAGTTTAAACGAAAGGCAGGAAAAAATGCGTATAATTTAATATTTTGTACAAGGAAGTCATGTGGTGTATATATCAGAATATTATTTTATATTATTTATAATATATAATATTTGAAAATTAATATATAATTAAATAAATTTTATAATATGTAATTAAAAACTATTAAAATTAATATATAATATAATGTAATATAAAATGTAATTCTTGACATGAAATTCCATGGAAACGATTATGGAAACTGCTGCTATACATTTTCTTGCAGGAATTTCATGTCAAGAATTACACTTTATATTACATTATATATTAATTTTAATAGTTTATTTAATTACATATTATAAAACTGATCAATGAATTCAAATAAAATTCAAATAAAATTGATCAATGAATGTTCACTTACCGTTCTCCTGTGTGTTTGTGACTGTCTCATATTAGACATGGGTGTCCTGCATGTGCACCTGCGCACGGTGCGAGCGGCTGCAGGTCCCGTAGGGGGCAGCACTGCAGACACACCGGGCTCACTCTGGTGTCGAGGGTCCGATGCATGAGCTATGAGCAGGGCCAGACACTAAAAGGAAACAAATTCATTAATTCATAAACAGCTGTTGGTGGTGACGCTGGCAGCTTTGAAAATACAATGAAAAAAAAGTCAATATGCAGTGTACTCTTGATTATCCGGATGCGGATTATCTGTGCGTGGGTAACCCCATGCACCCACATTCAGTGCCATGCGCAGGAGTGTGTAAAAAACAAACACGCGCAACTCTGAGCCTGCTCTAAAAAACACTGAATTACGTCTTTAATTTTAAGAATTACCTAGTTTAATTAATTTGTTCTTAATGTGTATATTCGAAGGCATCTTTTGGGTTGATCAGAAAGATTTTTTTTATTATTTTGTACGCATTTTCGGGGATATTTTCTGTAATTTTTTAAAAATTGGTTTAAAGTTTTAGGTCTACAAGAGAAATTAATAGCACTGGTTCGACCATGGAAAAAGATTCTTCATAACATAGAAATCGGAGTTTCTCTAATCGGGAAGAATAACTAAGGGAGTATGCAAAAAAACGCGAAAATGTAAAATTCTTCGAAAATGTCGATCGGAAGGACATCAAGGAATGGTTCCATGGCAATTCGACTGAGCCGGACCGTTAATGCTCGAACCATGCGCATATAGTTACAAATGCCACAAGAACAGAGAAGGCAGACTGTGATACTAAATATGCAAGCGAAGAAGATGCTGACAAAAATACTGAATCCCGAGATGGCAATGACTTCGATTATAAAGTATTTCCCCCTCCTTTCTGCATGCCTTCGTGGTGTAACGGTAGCACACTCGGTGCGTATTTGAGAGGTCCAGGTTCGAGTCCCGGCGAAGGCATTGCTCATTTTTCAAGTCTCCCGTATCAAAAATACCTAATGATTCTACTGTGGCATCCGAACTATAAAGGTGGTGCATGATGATTCTTCACGACCAGGATTTGGCGACTGGGACCAGGATCTGGCGACTTAACAAACACGGGAGTATATAAGGTAAGTAAGTAAGTAAGTAAGTTTTTTTGGCTTCCCTGTTCCGGGAACTAAGCCCACTACACGTCTACTCCCCCTTTGGGCACATCGTGGAGGTTCAACCTTCACTATTACCCTCCAGGAGAGCAGCGCACCACTTGGATAAGACACCAGGCAGCACCGGTCGTCTAATGCTCCTACCAGTCGCTTGGGCGAGCCCGTCGCAGCGGGACATTACCCAGCGACCCCGGGGGAGACCCCCGGGTTACTAGAACCACGCCGCGCTAGGACGTGCCAGACTCCGAGGCCGGCCAATAAGTGACCTTTCCCAGAGCCTTCAGAACCACCAAGCTCATAAATTTTATACCCTCGTGGCCGAGACTGCCTAGGTACAGATCCTAGCCAGTAGCTTCGCAGAGTTCTCTACGTCGACCCCCGGGGGGGAGGAGTATATAAGGTATTTTCTCCCACCTTTCTGCAAGACTTCGTAGCGTAACGGTAGCAAACTCGGCGCATATACGAGAGGCCCAAGTTCGAATCCCGGCGAGAGTACTGCCCATTTTTCACACCTCTCGTATCACAAGTACCTAATTGACTCTACACTGACGGGACTTGGATCAAAAGGGATTCGAAAAGACAATAATAAAATAGCAATTCTAAAAATACGTAGGGAAATTCGACAAGTATTCAAACGTTCTCAAAAACATGTAAAATTGCTGACTTTTTTAAGAAATAAAAACGTAAAATGTGCATGAAAATTGATTGTTTGGATTATCCGTGATCTGCTTCCCCGACATTAGCCCGGATAATGAAGAATACACGCAGATCAGAGCACAAATACGTATATGGAATGCTTTTGTTTTCCATGACACCAGCTGTGTTCCTTTCTGTAAAATCGCTGAAAAGGATTTCTTACGCGGAAGTAGGAAATTTTAAATTCCAACTAAAGTGAAATATGATAATTCCGAATAAACCGAAACACGAGAAACTGCTTCCTAGAAAAACCCTCCCCCTGGCTAAGTCTTGTTCATGAAACTTGTAATTCTTACGGAAAATAGACATAAGCGAAACAAATTGCGAATCTCAGCGCCTTTTACTTATAATCTGGTGTTCGTAAGTATCAGAATCGATATCTTAGTTACGAAGCCTCAGGCTTATTTTTCCGTATCATTTAAGTAGCAAATTATCAATACAATGCGATTATTACTAATAATCATACTTCCTCATAACTATCATAATTCTAAGAAGTTAATAATCTGAAAGCGCACGTCGACTATTCAGTTAAGTAGTTAACTTTAGAATGCATATACAGTAAGACCCCGCTTAACGCTGTTTCGTTTAGCGCTGTTTCGGTTTAGCGCTCTTTTATTTCAACCCGGGGATTCCACGAAATCGCTCACAGCATACGGGGATTTCCCGAAATATTATGCAGCTGTAGGTTTCAAATACATATCCGAAAGAGTGTACTTGTATTTCTTGTTTGGTGCGGTATTGTACAGACATATTTTGAAGGGGTAAATGTGGAAGATGTGGAAGAAATAATTCAAGAAGCAGCGGCTAGTCTTTCTAATGATGAGCTCAAGGAATTAACTGAACAAGAAGAAAACAAAAATGTTGACAGCAGTGATTCAGAAGAAGAGCAAAAAGAACTTTCGATCGCGTTTGTAAAAAGGAGTTTGTCTACCATAACTGAAATAATGGATCAATTCATTGAAAATGATCCGAATTTTGACAGGAGCTCAAAAGTAAGGCGTGGTGTTAGAGATGCTCTATCCGTTTATGAAGAACGTTTAAGAGAACGACGCAAAAGAAAAAGGCAAACAACATTAGATGCTTTTGTCACAAAAAGGTAGAACACTGAAAACGCGGAAGGCTAACTAAATATGACTGAGAATTTTATTTGTTTTTTTTTAAGAATATTCGTTTTGTTATTTATATTTTGTTTTTATTTTTGCAAGAAATAATAATGTGGTATTAATTTGGGCTTTAAGAAATAAATGTTTGGTTTTATTTTTATTAAAAAAACATACGTTTTAAATTTAATACCTAACCAATTTCCTAGCCATCTTCCCCTAACCCCAATATTTACATGTTAAGATAGCCTCGTTTAGCGCTGTTTCGCATTACGCTCTACTTTGATGTAACGTATTCCCCGCGTTAAGCGGGGTCTTACTGTATTTAGTAACTTAGCTAAGCTGCAAATTAATTACTTGGTACTCTTAATATTTTAAGTTTTCCGACAATTTTACCTTTCGTTTACTTTTTTTTTTTTTTTTTTTTTTTTTGAGTTATATTATTCTTTAGCATACTTTTAATCAAATTCTTTACGAAGAGCAGCTATCACAGGAAACTCATAAAAGAGACTATCTCTCTTATTAATTATTGAATACTGATCGACATGTCGATTCTAGAGACGGAAAACATTTTGAAGCTTTTTCTCTAACTTGCTTCTGCATGACAAATATTTAAAATAGTTTCTCTGAAATCTGGATGTCAATTTCGCAATAAATATTGACACGTATTGTTCGTGTTAAAAATAGGATGATAAAACCCTTTTTTTAATTAATTAAAAAAATTTTAAGCATAAAACACATTTTTAATTCTATTTCTAAAAACGAATTGGCATTCGTTATCTTTTAAAAAGTTGCATATAAAATAAATTTACATTCCCCCGTCGCCTATGCAATTATATATATGAAATTGTATTTTTCTCCGTAATGTAACCTGAAAACAAATTTAAAGAGACAAGCTATGCCAAAAAAGCAAGAATACAGGGGCAAGTGCATTTAACACTAAGTAAATGGGTATCTCGGTAATTTGGCAAGAAATCGCCAAGAGCCGCCAAACTTGGCGACATTTTGGTCCGGTCTCTGTATCACAGTAATAGGTATTGTAATTGAATAAAAGTAATTGATTACTATATTACCTGCAACCATTATTTGACCCGCATATTGCTTTCCAGCAATTTCCAGAAGCAGAAAGTACTAGAAATATCTCGACCACCGGATGAAAGCTATATAAGGCAGGAGAGAACATCTGCTGTCAGTTAATTGTTATTGTTGTTGCGAGTTGTTAGTTCAGCCTGAATTGAGATATTTCCGGGTTAGCTTTCTTTTTAGGTGCGCTTTATATTGCGTTGTGTTTAACGTTCTTTGTAGTTTAAAGTGCAACTATATCTGATTACTGATTGTACTATGTGATACTGTGAATACCTGTACGTGTATTTCTGAGGAAAATTCCAGAACTTTGATGTGTTTGATTTGATAAAAATAAATTTTACTAATCTACCCTCGGACTTGTGTGCATTCAATCTATTATGAACCCGTATACATTTTTAATGCTTGTCTAACAGTACGTTTTCTAGCCTTTAAATCCGTATCGCACTTTCCGTGACAGAAGGGCATTCGTAAAATTTCGAAGCGTTTTTGGTTTCTATTCCTGTACTACTACTTTTGAGAGTCCATGTCATGGTGGGTTTACGCTTAGAAAGAGTTCTCTTCTACAGACCAAAGCATAGTTCATGAGTGGAACGTCATTGGACTTCTGAGGAATACGTTAAAAAGGTATACATGCAATACATGTATCAGTCTCCATTTTTTCAAGGAATGCAGAGGTGCTTTCCGAAGTACGACTTGTTGCTTTGACGTGAAGAAGATGTTTTGTTGATGATGTTGCTTTGTCTCTTTGAAAGTCACTGGGGTAAATAGAGAAAATTTCTTCCGTAAATACCGGACTTAAAATTTTCTCTCGAGTTGATTTTAACATTTTTTCCCCTCATTTTTCTTATTTTTTATTTCCAAGTGTAAGAGAATCCTGCGACAACCATAAACCCCTTAATGAAACTGAGGGGTTTTGCATCTACAGAATTGCATTTTCTTGAAGCTTTTCACATTCACAAAGATTTATTTTATTTATTTAATGACCTCTAATCTAGTCCTTCCTAACTATTCTAATACAGTCCTTCCTAATGCTTTTAATATTCTACTAACTAAATGTTTCAGTTTTGATTATTATTTCTGCCGACAGATGGCGCTACATTCTCTTTCGCTTTACTGCTTTTCG